CTCAGCAGGGCAGAAAATACCTGCTTGAAGGACATGTGAGGCTGGTTCCTCCTCTCTGCCCTCACTGCCACCATGCTCTTTTGGGCCATTGTATCCTACTGGAGAACCGTGTCTCATGGTAGGCTATCCCAGACATCCTGTGCACTGATGTTGTTTTCCTAGAACCAAAATTAGATTGTCCCTCTTCTCATATACCTACAAGGCCCCCTTACTGCTTACAGAATAAAACCCAAATTTCACTCAGCCCCACAGCACCCCCACCCTAACTTCTAGCTTCTCACCATAGTTCCTGTGTCCCTTCATGAGGCCTTCCTCTCCACCACCCTATCAGAAATAGCTGCTTTGGCTCGGCTTCTGTGGCTCAAGTGGCTAAGGCACCAGCCACATACACCTAAGGTGGCGGGTTCAAATCAAGCCTGGGCCCGCCAAACAACAATGATGGCTGCAACTAAAAAAATAGCTGGGGGTTGTGGCAGGCGCCTGTGGTCCCAGCTACTTGGGAGGCGGAGGCAGGAGATTCGCTTGAGCCCAGGAGTTGGAGGTTGCTGTGAGTGATGCCACGGCACTCTACCCAGGCGGACAGCTTGAGGCTCCACCTCAAAAAAAATAAAAAATAAAAGTTTTTAAAAAGAAATAGCTGCTTTTCTGTGTACACCTCCAAGACTCACTGTCATACCATTTGTACCAAATTCACTTGGTCTTCTTTTTTTTTGGAGACAGAGTCTCGCTCTGTCACCCTAGGTAGAGTGCAGTGGTGTCATAGCTCTCAGCAACCTCAAACTCTTGGGCTTGAGCAATCCTCTTGCCTTAGCCTCCTGAGTAGCTGGGACTACAGGTGCCCACCACTACCCCTGGCTAGTTTTTTTTTTCCTATTTTTAGTAGAGACAGGATCTTGCTCTTGCTGTCAAACTCTTGAGCTCAAGCCATCCACCGGCCTTGGCCTCCCAGAGTGCTAGGATTACAGGCAGGAGCCACTGCACCCGGCCTATGCATTTGGTCTTAGATGATATTTTGGTGTTTTTATGTCTGTGTCTCACACCAGATGGTGAGGTCTCCAAGGGCTACGGCTATGGCCTTATTTTCCTTTTCTGCACACAATAGTTCTTCAATAAATATTTGCTAAATTGGATTGACTACCACCCAAATTTCCCTCCGTACAACTACATTATTATCCTGTGTTTGGTCAGGGATGCTGAAAGCATCATAATGAGATGTCATCCTTTCATGTAAGTGAAAAGAATAAAAATACTCTACCCAAGCGCTCTGCTTCTGCATTGACCACTGCCATCATTGTTCTGTTAGATGTCTTACAGCTAAGGTATTCATTTTTTAGGGGCATATTCTGAACTTGGCTCTGTCACAGATACTAGAATACAAAGAAAAGTAAAAGACACTGTAAAATAATAAATAAAATTTAAAAGACATTGTCCGTACTTGAAATGTCGTGAGGGAAACAAAAACAGTTATGTCATAATAAATGTTAGTAGGGAGATTGTGTATCAGCTCACGTTATGGGGAATGGAAGAGGGATACTCATGATAAATTCTTCTCTCCCAAGACAAATGGCAAAGTAGAAAGAACAGAGGGAGAAGGGGTCACTCACTAGCCTGCCCCTTGGTCAACTGTTTAACCTTTCAGATCTCATTTCTACTGCTAGAAGCTGTGAATGATAAAGACTTTTATATACGTTGCTATGAAGAACACAATGATATGTGTATAAAAGAAACTTTACACATCCTGCCATAATGGATATAGGCATATATTTATATGCCAGTACTACTCAACCATCTTCTCCTGCCAACTTTCCTATCTGCACGAATAGTTTTATTATCTTCCAATTCACCCCAAGTCAGAACCTCAAAATCATCTTTGATGCTGCCGTCTTCACCAGTGTCATCAGTCCTGCCCACCTGCCTTGGACCCAGGCCCTCCACTGTGTAATGTTCCTTGTATCCAACCATTCCCTTCTCTTTCCATCTCATCACAGCCTCACGCTTCCCTGGCACAGCACTCACACCTGGACTGTTGTGACAGAACCTCCTGCTGTCTGTGTCTCTCAGTTCCATCCTTTCTAAAATTCAGATATCTCTTTCTAAAAGACTCATTTCTTCATATCATTCCCCTGCACAAATGAATTCAATTCTCCCCTTGTATCTAAAGACCACATTCCTAACTGTATACCTTGACATTTCAACGACTGGCAATTTAGCTCTATTTTATTTACCCAAACTTATCTGGTCTCAGCACAAATGTGTAATATAAACTGTATAAACGGGACTGGCTTTCTCCTGTCTCCTGAACAAATACGCTTAAGCCCCAACACACGTAACTCATTCTCTCATTTACTGTGGCCTCTCATCATCTAAATTGGTGGTCACGGGGGGAGGGAGCAGACACGGGTATGCAAGTAAGGTGCAGTCCTAGTGCAGTGGGATGGGTGCTGTTTGTCCCCGGGAGTGGCCTTGCATTCTTGTCCATCCTTCAAGATCACAATCTGGGCACATGTCCCTCGCAAAGCCTTCCCTGATTAATTTATCACTTTCTGAGCACTTGTATCGCTCACTCTTTGCACTCCTTGTTTTCAAACTTGAGACACAGATGCCTTGGCCCTACCTCCAGAGGTTATGACTCAGGAGGTCCAGGGTGGGGCCGGAGTATTTATATTTGGACATCACTTTGAGCTCACTATATGGATGACCTTCTACTAGTTATTTCCATTATTTCACTTCTACTCTAGCATTTTGTGGGCAGAAAATGTGTCTTCTTGTCTCTTTATACATCAGCCCTTAAGCCCCAGCAATGAATTGCCTAACAGAGAAAGGGCTCCCCAAATTTCATTTTTACTTGTTCCTAGTACTTTGCCATCCAAGTTCTCATTTAGTGCTTACAGCAACCCCACCAGGTACAGAGAAAGAGCATCTTTCTCACAGACTGGTGGGAAGGGAAAGTCACCACAGAGAAGAGACTGGCTGGCATAGGCTCAGAGGCCATAGTGTAAACCAGTTGCTCTAATTAGGGCTCCCTGGCACTGGCTCCTTGGGTTGGTGTTGAACTTCAAGCTCACTTTCCTCTTCTCCTAGAAAGGCGGGGGAAGGAACTGACATTTATTGAGCAATTACTCTCCCTCAAGTGCTAGGCTAGGGGACGTACACATTATTTCAGGGGATTAGGGATATACAGTAGTAACAGGTCCTACAGTTTTGCACATGTAAAATGCAGAGGCTCAGGACACCCAAGTTTCAATGCTTCATCGCATAGCACGAATGAAGCAGAACAGTCCAGAAAAGGAGAGAGTGACTTCAAATTTGTTGGAAGCCAATTTTGTGTCCAGGTGCATTGTTCTAGGTAAAGGCACAGTTACCTCACAGTTACCTCGCAAAGGAGATCTAGGTTCACTCCTTTTAAAGACAAGGCAATAATCTCAGAGAGGTTATGTAATTTGCCCAATGCCACACAGCTGGGAAAAGGAAAAGCCGTGGGTGGTAGAGCTAGAATTCCTGGCCTGTCTGACCCCAAAGCCCTGGTTGGTTCTGCAGCCCCATTTCTGCCGCAGGCCATTGGATCTGCACACAGTTTGCACCACACATTAGTAGCAGAAACAGGAGAAGGTCCCAGGTCTCTGCATTCCCCTCAGCTCCCTGACAAACCTCACATTCTGTTTGCTCAGGCTGCTCAGGGCCTGGATTCTGGCTTTATGCAGGCTCCACACATGGATTGGAAACTACTTCTGGGGAAGTTATGGTGGTATAGAGGAAAGAGACAGAGAAAGTATGGGAGACCAGTGCCTTGGATTTGCCAAGAGGTAGGCCTGGGTAGCATGGACTTAGGAAGGCAGGCGTCTGACAGGTAACTGGGAGGTGGAGGTTGTATTTCTTCCAGATCTAGCTGGCTGGGAAGTTCAGGAAGTGTGGCTGTCCCCTCCACCCACCCCAGACACACTCCCACCTTCACACACCCTTCAAGGACAGGCTTCCCAGACACAGATCTGGAGGTGGCTCACAGAGATGTGCAAGATCAGATTCAAGGTGACACACAGCAGCGTATACAGAAGCACACTGCCGCCCGTGCCCAGACTCACCACAGAGGAGGCAGATGCACACAGAGGTTGGCCACGGCACCCCACATGAAGGGCTGCTCACACTCCCACAGCCGCCCACAGAGGTGCTGAGGGCGCACTCCCCACCAACCACATTGGAGGTACCTTGGAGGTCGTCAGGAAGGATGGGGAGACTGGGCAGTGTTTTTTCCATCTCTGCCATGCCTTCCCTCTCTCCTACCAGGAAGGAGTCCCATTCTTGGATAGGAGGTCTGGCTTCTCTCCTAAGATTTGTCCTTTCCCAGGGCTCAGTTCAGCTCCCCTCTGCTCTGGGGAGGCCTGAGGTGGGGGAGGGGCTGGAGTGCAGACAGGAGTGGGAGGAGGAAGGCTGGACTGGGGAAGGCAGGAACCCTACCAGGGCTTCTGGGCAGACTGGAGGTCAGGGGGGGGCCTTCATAGCCCAGAGAGTGGGAGAAAGGAGATGCTGTAACTGGTACCAGGATTCCTTGATCCTCAAGGTTCAAGGTGCTGGGAACGAAGTTTGGAAGACCAGAGGAGAGGAGAGGAAAGGGTTGGGTGGCTAAACTCCACAGTGGTGGAATTTGGGAGACTCAGGCTTGTTCATTACCAGAGGGGCTGACACCTGTTACAGTGCCCCCGTGACAGTCCCTTTCCCCAGATTAGGCTCCCCAACCCAGGTGTTTCACTGAGCGGGTAAGTGTGTCTGACAAGGAGTGAGGGGAGGGGAGTGAGCCAAGGGGGATTGGGGAGTCTGTGAGGAGGAGGGGAGAGAGGAAGAGGAGTGACTTATGACCCCGGAGGAATAGTTTGGGAGGAACGGTTAGGGTCCCTCCAGCTGTCCCCACCAGCCCATTTCAGCAGGGGACCAGCATGCTGCATTCCCGTCCTTTCACCCCTCTGCTCACGCAGGAGGGAAAGCTAGGACTCGCCTGACCACCTTACCGTCTGCGGGGGGCTGCCTACGGTCATCTCCACGTAGTAGCCCTGACCCGACTTGCCCCTCAGGTTGTCCACCATTTCCACAAAGCTGCCCCTCCGGCCGGGCTCCTCCGGCTCCTCGTCCGTCTCCCGGGGCAGCCGCAGCCCCAGGGGGGCGCCCCCCAGGCCGCTGCGCAGGGGCAGCCGGATCCCGTGCTGGGTGCCGTGGGCAGGGAGCACCCCGGAGCCCATCCACAGCAGGAGCCAGGGCAGGGCTTGGGCCATGGTGGGCCCTGGCCTTCGGGCCCTCCGGGCTTGCACTGGCCCACGTCCGTCCCTGTTGGCTGTCCCCAAGTCTAGGTGGTGGCTTCACAGGAGAGGGAGCTCGGAGACATCAGGACTCCAGAGCCCGCAGGCCCCTCAGCCAACCCCGGGGTCCAGGCCGTGGAGAGCGGGCAGGAGCAATCCGCAGGGCACGAGAGAAGGGGGAAAACTGGGATCTGGACCCCGCTACATCTGGACGGTGGCGGCCAGCCTCAGCAGCGGGCTCGGCCCCTCGGGGGGCTGGGAGGGGCGGGCATGGCAGGTCGGCAGTGGCCGCTTTCCCGGGGCTCCTGGCGGGGTCGGCGGCGTGGGAAGGGGCAGGGGCTCCGGGCTCCTGCGGCTGCGCTGGCTGCTCAGGCCACCATAATCCAGCTCCCAGCTCCCAGGCGGGCAGGGGAGGCGGAAAGACTTGTGGCGGCGGCTGTCAAAGCCAAAGGGTTTTCGCTTTTCCCTGGGATCGCTGGGAAGTGTAGTTTTCCCATGGCAGGCAGCCCAGCTTCCGGGGCTAGAGAGGGGTCTGCGATGCCCTCTGCCGAGGTGGAGTCCACCCTGCAGGACCCTGGCGGTGCGGGAAGGGCCAGCGAGATGGTGGCGGCACACCTCTCATCTGTCCGTCCTTTCAGCACAATGGCAGGCCCTGGGGCTGCAGACAGAACTAAAACGCACTTACACCCGGAGTGGTTGCACATGGGAGATTTAAGTGATTCCTGCCACACAGTGGCCTTACACACAAAGCGACGTGGCATTAAGAATAGGAATGGGTGGGTGGGGGGAGCAGCTGGGGGATCTGGGAAGACTCAATGAGAGAAGGGAGTATTTAATTTGAGCATTTAAAAGTGAGTAGGCTTTCCTCCAGTAGAGATTGGGGAACAAGATTAAAGGGGATAGAAGGGCATTCTAGGCAGCAAACCATATAAGCAGGATCCAAAGTGGGGGGGGAAGCGTAGCAGTTTTCAGGAGTCTGCAATCTGTGGGCAGTTAACAGTCACCCAGGTCTTCTCTCTTCTGTATCTTTTTGTGCCTTTGAGGCTCTATTTGCTGTAAATCCTCTTGACCTCCTGAGTTCTGTGCTGTCACTCAGCCCCACTAAGGATGAATTGCTGTGGACAGCTTTAAAGTGTTATCACTCCAAGAAGTAGCTGTATATTAGTTGACAGGAGCTTAAAACGAAAAGCTTTGGAGTTCTAATAGCTTAGAGGAGAAAAGCTGTATGATCATATCAATATGTTATTTACCAAACGTGGAAAGCCATTGATAAAATTCAGTAGTCATTCTGATTAAAAAAAAATACACTAAGGGGAAACTTCTTAAACAAGACAAAAGAAAATCATAGAAAACATCATAAGAACAAGTTAAGTTACCCCCACTCAAGTCAAGGTTAGGAAAGGGAAAGTCATTATCACCACCCTTATCCCACATAGTTTAGATCAATCTGATTAACTCAATAAGACAAGAAAACGGGCTTGATGCCTGTGGCTCAAGTGGCTAAGGCGTCATCCACGTACACCCAAGGTGGTGGGTTCGAATCCAGCCCGGCCGCCAAACAACAATGACAGCTGCAACCAAAAAATAGCCAGGCGTTGTGGCGGGCGCCTGTGGTCCCAGCTACTTGGGAGGCAGAGGCAGAAGACTCCCTTGAGCCCAGGAGTTGGCGGTTGCTGTGAGCTGAGATGCCATGGCACTCTACCCAGGGGGACAGCTTGAGGCTCCTGTCTCAAAAAAAAAAAAAAAAAAAGACAAGAAAACGGAGCAAGTGCTATAAATATGAGAAGGCAAAGGAATCATTATTTGCAGATTTTATGATAGGAATAGAAAATATTAACCAATGAGATGATTAGACACAAGTTAAAAATATAAAAATCAATAGATCAATGTATGTATGGGAACTGTGCACATGATAGAGATGGGATTCATATTTTAGGAAATAGATGCATTATTCAATAACTGTTGTTGGGACATTTGGCAATTCATTTGGAAGGAAAGAAAACCAAATCTTTATCTCCCCTAAAAATAAACTCCAGATATATCAAATAGCTTAACATTAAAAATAAAACTACAGAAAAATAGAAGAATAGTGTCATAATATTATGTTAAAGAAGGTCTTCTCGGCTCAGCACCTGTGGCTCAAGCGGCTAAGGTGCCAGCCACATACACCTGAGTTGGCAGGTTCCAATCCAGCCCAGCCTGCCAAACAACGATGGCTGCAACCAAAAAATAGCCAGGCGTTGTGGCAGGTGCCTGTAGTCCCAGCTACTTGAGAGGCAGAGTCAGGAGACTCGCTTGAGCCCAGGAGTTGGAGGTTGCTGTGAGCTGTGATGCCACAGCACTCTACCCAGGGTGACAGCTTGAGACTCTCTCTCAAAAAACAAACAAACAAACAAACAAAAAAAACCCAACCCAAAACAGGAAAGGTAGCTGTTTGCAGTGACGGACACCGGTAGGCTCAACTATTTTGGAGGCTGAGGCAGGAGGATTCACTTGAGCCCAGAGGTTTGAGGTTATAGTAAGCTATATATCATTATGCCACTGCACTTCAGCCTGAGCCCCCCCAAACCCAAAAAACTCCCACACAAAAGAGCTCATTCAAAATTGGATCTGTTTGACTGCTTAAATATTTAAAAGTTCTGTAAAATTGTGAGTATTCCAATACTGCCAGTATTTCAATTCTATTTCTGCCTAGTCCAGTAACTGGGAGACCCCAGGCTAGTTATTTAACCTTTTTGTATATCATTTTCTCATTTGTAAAATGGGGGAAAAGAGGGCCAAGTGCAGTGGCTCACACCCTTAATCCTAGCACTCTGGGAGGCTGAGGTGTGTGGATTGCCTGAGCTCATAGGTTCAAGACTAGCCTGAGCCAGAGCAAGACCTCATCTCTAAAAACACCTGGGCGCTGTGGTGGGTGGCTGTAGTTCCAGCAAGAGAATTGCTTGAGCCCCCCCCCCATGGGGAAAAGATAGTACAAACCTCATAATGTAAGAATTCAATGAGGTAATTCATGTAAAGCACTTAGAATGGTGTCTGGCATATTGTAAATGTTCAATAAAGGGCAGCTATTAGCATTATTACTGCTGCAACTACTTTGAGAAAAAAGACATTCACGAAATTAAAGGGTCAGCCACAGACTAGGAAACATTTGCTACATAATAGAGAGGCAAAGTGTTAATGTCTATAATACATAGTATACAAAGAACTTCTACAAATCAATATAAATCCCAAATAATCTGACAGAAAAATGAATAAAAGGCCATGGTAGCTCATGTCTGTAATCCCAGCACTCTGGGAGGCAGAGGTGTGTGGATTGCTTGAGCTCAGGAGTTCAAGACCAGCCTGAACAAGGGCAAAACCCCCTCTCTAAAAATAGCCTGGCTGGCTCCGCGCCTATGGCTCAAGTGGCTAAGGCGCCAGCCGCATACACCTAAGGTGGTGGGTTAGAATCCAGCCCGGACCCGCCAAACAACAATGACGGCTGCAACCAAAAAATAGCAGGGCGTTCTGGCGGGTGCCTGTGGTCCCAGCTACTTGGGAGGCGGAGGCAGGAGACTCACTTGAGCCCAGGAGTTGGCAGTTGCTGTGAGCTGTGAAGCCACGGCACTCTACCCAAGGGGATAGCTTGAGGCTCTGTCTCAGAAAAAATAAATAAATAAAAAAAAATAAAAAAAGCCTGGCATGGTGGTGGGCACATGTAGTCCCAGCCACTTGGGAGGTTGATATAAGAGGATCACTTGAGCCCAAGAGTCTGAGGTTGCTGTGAGCTATGATGCCACCGCAGTCTACCCAGGGGGATAGAGTGAGTCTCTGTCTCAAAAAAAAAAAAAAAAAAGGAAGAAAGAAAGAAAGAAATTCAAGTGGCCAATTATATTATTTTCTGTCGTTTTATTAACTACAGACAAAAAATTTATGAAAAACCTCAGGCTCAGCACCCGTAGCTCAGTGATTAGGGCACTGGCCACTTACACGGAGGCTGGCAGGTTTGAACCTGGCCCAGGCCTGCTAAACAACAATGACAACTGCAACAAAAAAATAGCCCAGTGTTGTGGCAGGCACCTGTAGTCCCAGCTACTTGGGAGGCTGAGGCAGGAGAATCGCTTAAACCCAGGAGCTGGTGGTTGCTGTGAGCTGTGATGCCACCACACACTACCGAGGGCAACAGCCTGAGGCTCTGTCTCAAACAAAAGAAATGATCTTTTGCCCATTTTAACATCAGGGTTTTTTTTTCTGTTGAGTTTTGAGTTGTAAGAAACAGCTCTAACAATGGAGTCTCTGACCTAAGTGCCGGGAAAAATTTGCCATCAATTCCTCTCCATCTTTGAAACATCATCTTTAACTGTTCATCCTGGAGCGTGGAAGGTGACCTATGAGTGAAATTCTCTCTTCTTCATTCATTGGGTATATTATGGGTAAATCAATTAGGGTATCATTTTTATTATTCCTCCTGTCTCGCAAGACTTAGTTTCTTAATTATGTTGCCTAAGGGCATTTGATAAATTGGTTTGTATTTCTGCATACAAACCTATGGGGAAACCTGATAAAATGCAAATTGTGTATCTGTGTGTGGATAATCCCATTAATCCCATAGTATCTCTTATTCTATTAGCTCTTCCCATGAGAGAGAAAGGAACTCAGGCTAAAAGACAAAAGTTTAAAATGTTGGCAAACGGGGTTTGGGTGCGCTCACGGAATGGGCGTGGGGTGGGGGTGTTTGGCACGCCTTTTGTGTGTGGCACATGACCACAAGACGGACTCTACCTAATAAAATCAAATATTTTGACCTGGTTATTTGCATCCTCACATTAACCTGAAATGAATTTACTAAAAACACAAGTGTTGGCAATTAAAATCAACCAAATTGATTGTAAATTCTTAGAGGAACCAAGTCTACAAATGTTTTTTTTGATTATTATTATTTTTTTAGACAGAATCTCATTATGTTGCCCTCAGTAGAGTGCTGTGGCATCACAGTTCACAGGAACCTCAAACTCTTGGGCTTAAGTGATTCTCTTGCCTCAGTCTCCCTAGTAGCTGGGACTAACAGGTGCCTACCACAACACCCAGCTTTTTGTTGTTGTTGTTGTTGTTGTTGTTTAGCAGGCCTGAGCTAGGTTCGAACCCACCAGCTCTGGAGCATGTGGCAGATCCCCTAACCACTGAGCTATGGGTGCCCAGCCTTAAATTTTTATTTATTTATTTTTTTGAGACAGTCTTACTATGCCACCCTCTGTAGAGTGCCATGGCATCTCACCTCACAGCAACCTCAAATTCTTGGGCTTAAGAGATTCTCCTGCCTCAGCCTCCCAAGAAGCTGGGACCACAGGTGCCCACCACAATACCTGGCTATTTTTTGTTGCAATTGTCATTGTTGTTTAGCTGGCCTGGGCCAGATTCGAACTCCCCAGTCTCGGTGTATGCGGCTGGTGCTGGAACCACTGGGCTACAGGTTGCTGACCCTATTTATTTATTTTTAGAGGCAGAGTTTCTCTGTCACCTAGGCTGGAGTGCAGTGGTCTGATCATAGCTCACTGCAGCCTTGAACTCCTAGGCAGGAGGATGCCTTCTTAGTAGCTAGGACTTTAATTTTTTTGTTCACAGAGACGTGGTTTGGATGTGTTGCTCAGGCTAGTCTTGAGCCTGGGCTTAAGCAAACTTTTCACTGTGGCCACCCAAAGTGCTGGGATTACAGGCTTAAGCCACCTCTCCCAGCCTTATTTCTTTAGAGACCTGGTATTGCTCCATTGCCCAGGCTGCAGTGCAGTGGCTTGATCATAGCGCTCTGCAACATTGAATTCCTGGGCTCAAGCAATCCTCCCTGGTAGCTAGGACTACAGGTGTACACCACCATGTCTTTTTGTAGAAATAAGGTCTTGTGATGTTGTGCAGGCTGGTCTTGAACTCCTGGCCTCAAGAGATCCACTTTGACCTCCCAAAGTGCTAGGATTGTGATGGTTCTAGCTCTTAAGCATTCATGCATGAAAACTCTTCTTCACGGCCTTCCTTGGTTCCATTTGTCAGAGTTTTAACAAAAGTGGCTCCATTTTGATCTGACAACTTTCACAACTTTCTGGATACCTGGCTTGGGATCTACAGGGTCAACAATCTAAGTTCCTCATTCTGGGATCAGGCTCTGAGTAGTGTGGGGACTAGTCTCAGGAGTTAGTATGAGTCAGCTGTAGCTCTAGAATCTGTCAGGGAACCTCACATTCCCCTTTTAAATTAACAATATATTCACTTTTCCATTTTCCAGTTTTCCCACTGATGTTATAGCTAGAGCTGTCGTTGCCCCTCTTAACTTCTCAAGGAGGGTGGTGACCTATGAGAGAAAGGAAGATTTGCCCTCCATGTAAGTCAACTTTTATTAGCAGTAACCACTCTGCTAGTGTGTGGAGGGGCTATATACTTTGTCACTTTTTTTCTTCTTCAACAGACTCTTTGAAATAATTAGGACAGCATTACTATTGTCTTCTTGCAGACATACAAACTTGTATCTGGTGAAAAGATGGATAGTGGAAAATAAGTCTACCTTCCATTCAGGTGCTTATTATTATCTTTATTTTTTGGAGACAGTCTCACTCTCTTGCCCTGGGTAGAGTGCCATGGCATCATCATAGCTCACTGCAATCTCAAACTCTTGGGCTCAGGCCATCTTTTTGCCTCAGCTTCCTGGGTAGCTGGACTACGAGCGCCCCCTGTGATGCCCGGCTAATTTTTCTATTTTTAGCAGAGACAGGGTCTTGCTGTTGCTCAGACTGATCTCGAACTCCTGAGCTCAAGCAATCCACTTGCCTTGGCCTCTCAGAGTGCTAGGATTACAGGTAAGAGCCACAGTGCCTGGACATGCTTATTGATTTAATTGGAGTGCAGGACAGCCAGTTTTTTGGGGAATGGGGTGGTCTTCGTTATCTTACCTTTGCATTTCTTTTGTTTATTAAGGCTTAATGGGCTGATTATTGACAATCACTGTATTATTCACTTGATGCTAATCACACTACTGAAAAATGGTGATCAGTAGGTTACTTTGGATAATTGACATCGCAATAAATACTATGAATTGTTCCTTCTCTGCTCCTGGAAGAAATTGCCCTTATATGTGTATCTATTTTTTTTTTTTTTTTTTTTTTTTTTGAGACAGAGTCTCACTTGTCACCCTCAGTAGAGTGCCGTGGCTTCTAGCTCACAGCAACCTCAAACCCTTGGGCTCAAGTGATTCTTTTGCTAGCACTCAAGGCTAGCACTCGAGTAGCTAGCACTCAAGACTGGCCACAACGCCCGGCTACTTTTAAATTGAGGGCTCCCTTTTAACCCTTAGGGATAACTATCAACTACCTTAAACTACACTTCCCATCGTGCAACGGGAAAAAAATGCATAGCTCTTGCGCGACCTGACGGGACCTAGAACCAATCCAATGCCAGAGCTCTCACTCAGTGACCTATTGGCTGCGGGTAGAGGCGGGACTCTCGGTTGCTAGGTTGGTACCCTTTCCGGAAGTGGTTGTTGGCCGCTGCAGGGCAACACCCCGGCGTCCCTGGAAGCGGGGTGCCGGGGTGGTGCTGGGAAGGCTGCGCAGACCCCGGAACCGTCGCCCAGAACCTCCCGGGGTAGCGGATAGGTGAGGACTTCCAGGGGGTAGTCTGGCGGGGAGGAGGATTGCGGGGGAGCTTGAGGCACACTCGTGTGTCAGAGAGCTGGATGTGCACGAGTGTGGGCGGGAACTGAGGGAAAAAGTGAAAAGGAGCTGCGGGACGAGGGTGCCTCTGTGTGTCTTGTCACCTCACCCTGCTCCGGAGTGGGCGGCGGGGGCACTGGGCTAGGGGCCTGGCGGGTGAGTGCGCGGCGAGCCAGGGAGCGGGGGCGGCGGACGCCGAGCGGACTCGCTGCGGGGCTCGTGTACCGGTCCAGTTCAGAGCGGGCAAGGCCCGGCCTGCGGATCCTGGCTTGAATCTTCCCGTGTGGGAAGCTGCCCCCCTGTCCGAATCTGGGGCTAGCTGAGTATTAAGTCATCTTTCGGTCGTTGAGGATCTTGGAAAGTGTTTTGTTTTTTACTTTTCTCCCATCTCCCTATCTGGAACCGTTCACTTCTCTTGGCCTCTGGGACTTTCTCTGTCCTAGTGCTCCTAATTTAGTCCTTTGCAGGCCTTTCTGCTCAGCACACTTCATGTTCGGGTGGTTTCACCCCAAGTTTCAGTTACCATCTATTCAGGAGTGCTTCCCCAAGATACTTTTCAGCCAGACCTCTTTCCTCGCTCACACCTGCAACCTTCCTTGCTCCCCCAGGTCTGTTCCTTCTCTTGTACTTCCTATCTCAGTGAACGACTTAACCATTCACTCACTCGGCCTGGTCTACGCCTGGAGTTCATTAATCTCATATATACAGAAAACATTTGCTGGATGCGGGATGGAGAACATGTAGCCTTCTGGATCTTTTTTTTTTTTTGACACAAAGTCTCACTTTGTTGCCCCGGACAGTGCCAGGGCGTCACAGCTCACAGCAACCTCAAACTATTGGACTTAAGCGATTCTCTTGCCTCAGTCTCCCGAGTAGCTGGAACTACAGGTGCACACCACAATGCCTGGGTATTTTTTAGAGATGGGGTCTTGCTCTAGCTCAGGCTGGTCTCGCACTCGCGAGCTTAGGCGACCCTCACCTTGGTCTCCCGGAGTGCTGGGATTACAGGCGTGAGCCACTGCTGGATCCTTGCGTGTGTGTGGCCTTTTGACTGAATCCAAATTTTACAGAACAAGTCTTTTTATATTTATTTTTATTTTTATTTTTTTTTTTGAGACAGAGCCTCAAGCTAACCCCCTGGGTGAAGTGCCATGGCATGACAGCTCACAGCAACCTCCAACTCCTGGGCTCAAGCGAGTCTCCTGCCTCAGCCTCCCAAGTAGCTGGGACTACAGGCGCCCGCCACAATGCCCGGCCATTTTTTGGTTGCAGCCATCATTGTTGTTTGGCGGCCCAGGCTGGGAATTTGAACCCGCCACCTTAGGTGTATGTGGCTGGTGCCTTAGCGGCTTGAGCCACAGGCGCCGAGCCAGAACAAGTCTTTTTATTAAAGGGGGTGCAGCAGAGAAAGATCAAACTTTTCTTGGCTCCTTTGGTGCTTAAAAAAGAACAATCTTGGGGCAGTACCTGTGGCTCAAGGAGTAGGTGCTGGCCCCATATACCAGAGGTGGCAGGTTCAAACCTGGCCCCAGCCAAAAAAAAAAAAAAAAAGAACAATTTTAAACTCAGAGGGCTGCAGTTTCCCTACCCCTTAAAGTAGTGCTGCCAGTTGAGCAAAGTGAACAGATAGTAAAGTGCTCTTTGTTGTATGTTATTGTTACTTCCTTTACTATGCCTACTATATATAGTCTGTGTTTACATGTTTGGCTTCCTACCTAGGCTGAGGTTGAGTTCAGGGCCATGTGTAATCAGGTGTGTAGCCCTAGCACATAGCATAGTGCCTGACCCAAGTTAGGTGTTCAGTAAGTAATTATTGAATGTCTGACCTTAAGTTATATTCCCTGGTGTGGGATCTGTGCTCTGGAGCAATAAGCCCTTTCAATATGTGAATAAGCCCTTAAAATACGTGAATAATAATAATAATACCTAACATTTATTGAGCTCTTACTATGTGTTTTTTTTTTTTTTTTGTTCTTTTGAGACAGAGCCTCTCACTTTGTTGTCCCTGGTAGAGTACTCTGACGTCATAGCTCACAGCCACTTCTAACTCTTGGCCTCAAGTGATTCTCTTGCCTCAGCCTCCCAAGTAGCTGGGACTACAAGCTCCTGCCACAGTGCTGGGCTATTTTTAGAGATGGGGGGGTCTCACACTAGCTCAGGCTGGTCTCGAACTCACGAGCTCAGGCTATCCACCCACCTCAGCCTCCCAAAGTGCTGGTATTACAGGCGTGGGCCACTGCGCCCAGCCTCTTACTGTGTTTTAAGCTCTCGTATTGAATCATTTAATCCTCACAACCCTTTGAGATAGCCATTGTTATTATCCCCATTTTATTTATTTATTTATTTTTAGAGACAGAGTCTCATTTTATCACCCTCAGTAGAGTGCTGTAGCATCACAGCTCACAGCAACCTCCAACTCTTGGGTTTAGCTGATTCTCTTGCCTCAGCCTCCCGAGTAGCTGGGACTACTCGGCTCCCACCACAATGCCTGGCTATTTTTTGTTGCAGTTTGGCTGGGGCCAGGTTCGAACCCACCCCCCTCGGTATAGGGGGCCGGTGCCCTGCTCACTAAGCCACAGGTGCCGCCCCCAATCCCCATTTTATAGATGAGAAAATGGAGGCAACCTTGACGGCTAGTAAGAGGCGGAGCTAGGAGTCAAAGCCAAGAATGACCTAAAATCTGTGCTCAGTACCACTACATTATCTACTCTAATGTCTTCCACCTTCTCCCCAGTGCCTTCTTCAGTAAATCTACTCTGTGATGAACCTTGTTTATAATTGTTGCAGTAGAGTGGAAGAAATAGAAACATATATAGGGAATCCTAATTATGGATGTGCTGTGTTAGCAAGTGGGTACGCAAAACTCTGTGGGTGTGCTGACAAAGTAGAGAGGAGGATGACCACAAAATTGAAGGACTGAGAAACCTAACGTGTCCTAGATGGAGGAGAACCGGGAGTGCTTAGCCTAGCTAGGGAATCCTTGGGTGCTGTCCGTGGAGCAGAGGGCAGGACTTGACAAATCAGGGGTCATATCTTCAAAACTGATTATTGTCTTACTATTAGAAAGACTTGTTAACAGTAAGCATTATCTAACTATGGAATTGGCAGTAACATCAGTAATACTAGCTAAATTTATGTAACATTTTTTGTATACCAGACACTGTGCTAAGCACTTTACAACTATTATGTCACTCTCAAACAGCCTTTTGACATAGATTCTCATGGTTGTGTGAGTTGCATGTGAGGTTATGCCGGCTAAGAGAGGTGAAGTACCTTGCCTAAAGTCATACAGCTGGTAAGTGAGAGAGTTTGCATTTGAATCCAGGTTTTCTGTCCCAAAGCTAGTGCTTTGACCCCTGTGTATCTTGTTACAGCACAGAGAAGGAAAATTAAACATGGCAAGGGAACTTGGACTGAAGCTACTATGAGTTTTTTCCAGCTCCTGAGATCCCTTAGGTCTGTGTTAGTAGCTTACAGCAATAACTGAGCACCTGCAGTTTACACAGACTTATTTTAGGCTTGGTTGGAAAATCCAAGAAGAGCAGGCATGGCCCTCAAAAGTTTGTGGTTTTACAACAGGGGTAGAATATATTTCATCAGCAAATTAATATTGAGAGAAGTATGCATGTATACACAGGGAATTTGCATGCTTCAGTTCTGAAGTAGTTCTGGGTTGACAAGAGAGGATGAGGTTAGCTGGGAAGGCTTCCTGGAGGAGGTGTATGAGCCTCTTCTTTTTTTTTGCTAGATTCTGGGATAGGCAAGGGATGGATGAGTGGAGGAACCTCCCCTACAACTCTGTGGTTCATAGAGGGTCTCAGGCCAGATAGCAGGTAGATCTCCTCAGGCCTCATACGACTGTTAGTAACTGCTACATGAGGCATGATATTGAGGGTTCTGAGGCCATGATTAGTGTTTAGGATGCCATGATTGCCTAGTGACGTCCCTCGTGGTTGCAAGCCTAGAGGGATATATTAGGACATGTGTCATTTATTTGCCATAGCAGATCTAAGGGCTGCATTCTCAGACTTCTCATCCTCCCTTTTAATACTCTAATCAGGTTACTGTCATCTGTCACCTAGACTCTCTCATGCTTTCCTACCTCATCTCTCTACACCTGCTTTGATTCTCTTTCTTCCAATTTGGCCTCCATTCTAGTCTGTGCTCCCAATGGCTGACAGAGCGATTTTTCAATGTGTGTTTTGAGACACCTGTTGCCACCTTCCAGTTCTCCTGTGATGAAGACCAAGGCCTCGGCTTGGCGCCTATGGCTCAAGTGGCTAAGGTGCCAGCCGCATACACCTAAGGTGGCAGGTTTGAATCCAGCCCGGGCCGCCAAACAATGATGGCTGCAACCAAAAAATAGCCGGGTGTTGTGATGGGCGCCTGTGGTCCCAGCTACTTGGGAGGTGGAGGCAGGAGACTCCTTGAGCCCAGGAGTTGGAGGTTGTTGTGAGCTGTGATGCCACGGCACTCTACCCAGGGGGACAGCTTGAGGCTCCGTCTCAAAAAAAAAAAAAAAAAAGAAGACCAAGACCTCGGCATGGCCTAGCTGCCACTCACCTCCCCAGCATCATCTCTGACTATGCTCCATTCTGCTTAATGTTGCCTGTTGAAGGGACTTTGCAGAAACTGCTTATTCTGTTAGACAGTGGTTTCCTTGTCCGCTCATCCTTCTATTCTCAGAGTCTCAGAGCTTAGGCATTGTCTAAACTGGGTTCGTTTCCTTCAGAAGTCTTCCCTCAGTTATAGTTATACATTTATCTGTGACTGATTGTTTTTTCCCTCCCTCACAAGATTGTAGCTCAGGGGGAATAGCAAGTGAAAGTCTTTTAAATCACCTTTGCATCTCTGTGCCTAGAAATATATAAACTTGGTAGATACTAGTAAATATGTGGGTTGTTATGAAAGTTTTGAGATACAAAAAAATCAAGAAACAGAAAATCTTAGTAAGTCCAGCTACAATCTTTAGATCACCCTCGTAATGTGTTATGGGTCTACTTTTCCTGGAGTAGCTTAAACTGAAGCAGTTCCCCTGTTTTGGAGATTTTGTAGTTAATTTTAATTTTGCCTATTGTTTGGAAAAGATGGGCTGTCTGTGTAGATATGAAGTATAGTTTTTCCATAAAACAGATGTTTATTTTGTATTAAAAATGCCACTGTATTAGGCTGGGTGTGGTGGCTCACACCTGTAATCTCAGCACTCTGGGAGGCCGAGGTGGGTGGATTGCTTGAGTTCACGAGTTTGAGACCAGCCTGAACAATAGTGAGACCCCATCTCTAAAAAATAACCAGGTGTTGTGGCAGGCACCTATATCTCAGCTACTTGGGAGGCTGAGGCAAGAGGACTGCTTGAGCCCAGGAATTTGAGGTTGCTGTGAGCTATGATGGCACAGCATTCTACTGGGGTCAAGAAAGTGAGACTGTATTTAAAAAAAAATATTACTGGACTTGTTTTATATCATTTGTATACATGTGGTGATATTAATGCTGAACTATAAAATTCAGGAATTAAAATGTGACCCTGTAATTAAAAAAAAAAAGAAACATACAGTCTGCACAGGAGGAAACAAATGAAGCCCTCTTGGCAATACTGATAAGCCCAGCATGTTGAAACTTGGACAGGTGAATCAGGAAGGATGCTGTTAACTATGTTTCTTGGAAGTGAAGTAATGGACCATAACACTGTCTGTCTCAAAACTTTCATAGCAACCCACACAGTCCTCAAGTGAATGATCTCCAGTAGCCATTATATAGATATGATTTCTCTTCCCGTATTCTCTCCCTTGCCCCTGTCCTTACTTACATCTTTTCGGAAACCAGGTAAGGCAAGGAAAGAAAGTAGAATACAACCCACCTGTATTTTAATTTTTTTTCTGGCAGAAGATTTACTTAGAATTTTGATGCTTCATAAAGTCAGAATTTTCAGGTTTTTCTGATCTCTAAATAGTTAAATATAGATGAGTATGTATATTGCTAATCAGGTTTTTTGCCATGAAGACAGAGAATATGCCTCTCCTGTGCTTTCTGGAGATAGTATGTATCATTGGTGACATTTCTCAAATGTAGAATTTCTCATTTTCTCTGAGATAATTAAGACAGTGCCCTGCGTGGAGCACATATTTGATAAATCTTTGTTCACACTGAGGTCCAGGCTACTATTGAGTCCCCTCCCCAGTGCACAGACCCTTTCCTTTTCTCTTTTCCTTCTCTCTCTAAGAGGATTAAGGATTCAGAGATGTGAGCATTATGTCCACAGGTATTAGGGGTTCTTAGGGTCAAGAGCAGATTCCTACTTCACCTTGTGTACTGCAGAGAAGAGTCCTTTGGGATTTTCTTCCTGCTTGGAGGTGGCATGGTGGGATGAGAGGGGGCAGAGTGTAGTTCCCTTGGAGTCCAGTGGAGTGATAAAGAAAACAATGTCGGCTCGGCACCTGTAGCTCAAGCGGCTAAGGTGCCAGCCACATACACCAGAGCTGGCGGGTTCAAATCCAGCCCGGGCCTGCCAAACAATAATGACAACTACAACCAAAAAATAGTGGGGGTTTTGTGGTGGTTGCCTGTAGTCCCAGCTACTTGGGAGGCTGAGGCAAGAGAATCGCTTCAGCCCAACAGTTGGAGGTTGTTGTGAGCTGTGATGCCACGGCACTCTACCCAGGGTGACAGCTTGAGGCTCTGTCTCAAAAAAAAAGAAATGATGTCTTGTGATTCCTAAGGCGGGACACCTCCATTGCCCACCTCTCAGCTGCTATGCCAGAGAGAAGGGGCCACAGGACCAACTAATGGTCCTTATGGATACTTTTTCACTTACCGGCTTTCTCTAGGGATCTTGGAATAGATGCAGAGTCACCAGATCCAGCTGTTTCCTGAGCACTCGTTCCAGGTCAGGTCGTGACCTTCTTTTTTACGGCTGAGTCCTTCTGCCTGAAGAGTGCTGTTTCATGCTCTCTGCTCCATGCTTGCTGCTCCAGGTGGAACAGTGACAACTTCTGAGAAAGTGAAGACAGAAGCCAGGACCTGTGGCTTCAGACTCCAGTTGATCACACCTGGTGTGGCTGACTCCCCTGCTTTATCGTGGGAGCTACCAAAGGGACAGTTGGTGGGTCCAGGGGTAGAACTGCACCAGCTTGTCAGTTAAGCAGTTTGGCAGCTGCCTACTTGTTATGTCCTCACGTGAAGAGAGCAAGTGAGCTTGAGCTCTTCTCCTTATGAGGACACTCATCCCAGCAGGTCAGGGTGCCACCCTCATGTCCTCATTTAACCTTAATTACCTCCTAGGGACCCTATATCCAGATCCAGGGCTTCAGTGTATGACTTTTGGAGGGACAAAAATCTAGCCCCTTGTAGCCCCTTCCCACTCTTTCCCCTTACCTCCTGGTCCTCTTAAGCCTTTTGCCACTGTGTCTATCGTATCCATCCTTTAATGCCACTGTGTCTATCGTATCCATCCTTTAATGCCACTGTGTCTATCATATCCATCCTTTAGTGCCACTGTGTCTATTGTATCCATCCTTTCTCCTTCCCACTTCTTCTGCCCCAGTTTAAGCCCTCATCATCTTTCCACTGGACAGCAGCCACCTCAAGTGGTTTTCCTGACACCAGTCTCATTTCTCCAATCAAGCCATACCAGTCCTGCCAGAGTGCTTTTCCTAAAAAAAGGCCTCCCTGTGATACTTTCTTCCACCAGAGCTCTCAGTTATAGGGCAAGGTCGAGGCTCTTTAGCACGGTCTACAAGACCAGCTCTGAATCAGCCTTCCATCTGAGTCCGGAACTCCTGAACACCTGTCTGCACATAATGCTTCCTCTGTCTAGAATGCCTTTCTCACTATTAGTATCCTTGTTAGTGTCCTTCATCCCTTGGCAGGGGGTAGGGGGATGGGGGGTGGCATTTGTGGCTCCTATCTTAGTGTTCTGGGGGCAGGGTTTTTTCCTGTCTGCCTCCTGGTACTGTTGGTAGTTGTGCTCCCTGCCCTGGATTGCAGCTCCCTGAGGGCATTGCTGGATGTGTGTTGAGGTGGTGGGCCCGTGCACTAGGGTGTGCTGCACATAGGTGTCTGTGTGCTGCCTGCTGATTATTTTGGTGTCACTAGGGTTTTTTCTCTTGGTGGTTTGGTACTACAATTCTTTGTCCAATTTGTGGGTGGAGATACGAAGTCAAACTCTTGATGGAGCCAGACTTGCAGATCTTTCATTGTTCAGAGTGTTGCCTTACCTGGTTCCAGAAAAGATGTAAGGAAATTTGGGGAGATGTGTCTCAGGGAACTTTCCTAGGTACAGAGCCTAAGTTCTGAGCTTTTGGTTGTACCACCCTCCACTGTCTCTGGAGCCTGGACAGTCCCCAGCCAAGTCAGTTTGACTCAGACACTCCATGATCCAGCTCCACTTTTTCTCCTTTTAAGCTGGGTCACTGATTTTTCTCTTTGGGTCTGGGTCTCTGGGATCTAGGTGTTTGAGCCAGACCAATCATGGCTGCACGACCCATCCGCATTGGAGACCAGCTGGTCCTGGAGGAAAATTATGATGAGACCTACATTCCCAGTGAACAAGGTAAGAGACCTGTATTATATTAGTTCTTTAAGAGTCAGGATCATGTCTGGTTTATTTTTGTTCTTTCAAAGCAATGCATGGTACATGCACAGGGCTGCGTAGTAAATTTGGGTTAGATCAAAGTTTGGCAAAGTGTGTGCCCCAGGGCGTACCTTGGCTCTTGTCTATTTCTGTGAATGAATTTTTTTTGGAAAATAGTCATGCTTGTTTGCTTATATATTGTCTGTGGCTGCTTTTATGCTCCAACAGCAGAGGTGAGTAGTTGTGACAGAGACTGTATGACCCACAAAGTTTAATATTTACTGTTGTCTCGCCTTTTACAGAAAAAGTTTGCTGACTCTGGGTTAGATTAATGATTAGTTTTAACTGGAAATATGATAAGGGATATTGTGAAATACAGGGGAAACCCAATTTCTTAAGAACAAGCTTAAAGCAATATTTTTAAAAAAGTATTAATAACTATAATAGTGTGCATTTATTTATTTTTTTCCACTGGAGGCCAGACCTGAATTAATTTATTGAGTGCTTCTATGTGCCTATCTCTGTCTTAAGAACTTTGCCTGTGGCTCGGTGCACTTAGCCCAGTGGTTAGGGTGCCGGCCACATACACTGAGGCAGGAAGTTTTGAACCTGGCCAGGGCCTGCTAAACAAGGACGACTGCAACAAAAAAGTAGCTGGGCATTGTGGTGGACACCTGTAGTCTCAGCTACTCGGGAGGCTGAGGCAAGAGAATCGCTTAAGCCCAAGAGTTGGAGATTTTGAGGTTGCTGTAAGCTATGATGCCATGGCACTCCATTGAGGGTGACATAGTGAGACTCTGTCTCAAAAAAAAAAAAAAAAAAAAGAACTTTACATGTATTACCTGTTTACCTTCACAACACCTCCTCCCATTTTATAGATGAGGAAACCCAGGCACAGAGGATTAAGTTACTTTCCTATAATTACACAATTTTATTAAATTGTGTAGCATAATTCACTCCAGGTATTCCAACTCCAGGGCCTGCACTTTGAAGCACTCAGCTATTTTTATGGAGTGAAAGTTTTCGATGAGTTATGGACCCTCACAACCAAATTTTGCTTATAGTTCAGGTAATTTGTGACCCTATTTGAGAACAAGGTCACAATTCTTGCATCTCCACAAACACACAGATGCCATGTTCAACCCTGGACTTTGCTTACAGCGTAGGGTGTTTATTTCCCATGTAAAAGTTATTTTATTTTATTTTTTGAGAGGGAGAGTGATTTGTCTTTATTCAGGCAGGTCTCAGTGGCTCATAGCTGTAAGCTCAGCACTTTGGGATGCTGAAGTGGGAAGATCACTTGAGGTCAGGAGTTCAAGACCAGCCTGGGCCACATAGTTTGTTCTTTTAGACCTTCATCTCCATGAGCCAAGGAATGCAGGTGGCCTCTAGAAACTAGAACAGGCAAGGGAACACATTCTTCCCCTAGACTCTCCAGAATAAACACAGCCCTGCCAACAACTCAACTGTAGGCTAGTGAGATGCATTTTGGACATCCATCAAACCTATTTTGGAGATGGTGAGCCATCTTGGGTAACTTTAAAACTGCTTTTCATCTGAGTCTTGGTTTCTTCTACTGTAAAATGGGTTGATGACATGGCCTTCAGTACAGTAGACAGGGTCTGAAAGGTGGCAAGTTTTGTTTTCTTCAGTCAGCACTGGCTAGTTTTTTGGTTGTTGTTGTTGTTTGTTTGAGACAGAGTTTCACTTTGTGCAATTTATTTTTTTTTTTTGCTTAGCAGGCCCAGGCTGGGTTCGAATCCGCCATCCCCAATGCAGAGGACAGCGCTCTAACCACTGAGCTATGGGCACCCAGCCTTAGACTTTCACTTTGTCACCCCCAGTAGAATGCCCTGGCATCATAGCTCACAGCAACCTCTAACTCTTGGGCTCAAGTGATTCTCTTGCCTCAGCTTTCCAAGTAACTGGAACTATAGGCACCCTCCACAATGCCCAGCTATTTTTAGAGATGGGGGTCTTGCTTTAGCTCAGGCTGGTCTGGAATTTGTGAGCTCAGGCAATCCACCCTAAAGTTTTTTTATTTTTATGTTAAATCTATCAGTCCATTCTCATATGGCATCTGAATTATTTATCATAGTTGAAAAGCATTCCCACCTCCAAGGATAAAGTACTTCTCTGATGTTTCCTTCTAGTTTTGGTTCCACAACACTAATGGCATAGTTCCTCTTCCCACAGAGGCAGCATCCAGACACACTGATTTAGATGCTCCCTGTCTGTATCTGTATTTGGGGCTATTCTCTCCTCTTCCATTGGGTAGCCTATTCGTACATCGCTATTGTAATCCTAAATTACTTAGGCTATAGCATAAATGCTAACATCTTAAAGGGCTAAAATACCCTCTTGTTCTTCCCCACTCCTCTCCTCTCCCCACCTTTTTAGACAGGGGTTCATGCCATTGCTTGGGCTAGAGTGTAGTGGCGTCATCATAGCTCACTGCAGTTTCAAACTCTTGGGCTCAAGTGTTTCTGCTCCCTCAGCCTCCCTAAGTACCTGGGACTATAAGTGCACATCACCATGCCTGGCTAATTTAAGTGCACATCACCATGCCTGGCTAATTTAAGACAAATTTTTTGTAGGGCTGGGTACAGTGGCTTATGCCTATAATCTTAGCACTCTGGGAGCCTGAGGTGGAGGATCACTTGAGGTCAGGAATTTGAGACCACCCTGGGCAAAAGCAATACCCCATCTCTACTAAAAATAGAAAAATTAGCTGGGCATTATGGCAGTTGCCTGTAGTCCTAGCTACTTGGGAGGCTGAGGCAGAGGGATTGCTTAAACCCAGGCACTTGAGGTTGCCATGAGCTAGGTTGATGCCACAGCACTTTAGCCTGGGAAACAGAGTGAGATTTTGTCTCTAGAGTGAGATTTTGGAGACAGGGTCTTATTCTGTTGCTTAGGCTAGTCTTGAACTCCTAGCCTCAAATAGTCCTCCTGCCTCAGCCTCTGAAAATGCTGAGATTATAGGGATGAGCCAGTATGCCTGGCCTTGCTCACCTTCTTTTCACTTTCCTTGGCTGTCTTGTTTGATCCCTGTGAACTTTAGAATCACCTTGCCAAGTTCTGGAGAGGACTGCGTATGGGGGAACTGTTGATATTTGGGGGAAATTGTGTTAAATATTTGAATTAACTTAGGAAGGACTGACGTCTCTATGAAATTAGGTCTTCCTATCCAAGAACATCATATTTCTTGCCATTTCTGTCTTTTTTTGTTTCTTTCAGATTGACTTAAAGTTTTCTTCATCTAGGTCTTGCATATTTGGTGCTTAGTTTATTTTTAAAATATGTTGTCTGTTTTGGTGGCTGACGTAAATGGGGTCTAAGGTTCCTAAGGATGTTTATAAAAACTCTCTTGTGCTCAGTCTAACTGTGGGTATTCTAATCTCAAGCTACCATTTTCTCTGGACAAACTCAGTTAGCTTCCTAATTAGCTTTGCTGTTTGTACTCCTGCCCTTGTCCCTTCTGTATCCCTCATGGTAGCCAGAATGATCTTACAGGATGTGGCAGATCACTTCAGAACACTGTGCTTTTAATACCCAAACTCAACATAATACCCTTGATGGGATTGCGGGGCTCTGTGCAACCTGGCCCTGCCCCCCAGACACACTGTGCCAGAAACATTGTCTGTCTGATAGTCCCCAGCTGGGCCAACATGCTTCTTGCCACAGGTCCCTTATACCTGCTCTCCTTAAGCCTGAATACTCTTTCCTCAGTGCTCTGCAGGGCTGGCTCCTTTGTCTCTTGCAGGTTTCAGTTGAGTGTCAGCATTGCTGAGAGGCTTTCCTGGAGGATTGCCCCTCCTCCTTGACATTGTCTGGCTCATATTTCATCTACTTCCTTCATTGCATTTATCAGAAGCTTTGATTCTTTATTTATCTGTTTACTTCCTTGCTGGGGATCTCTTCTGCTAGAATGTAAACTCCATAAGAGTGGTGACTCTGTTTTTCTTATTCATGGCACACAGCGACTAGTACATAAGAGGCACTCAAAAAATATTTGTGAAATTAATAAATAAATTAGTCTTTGGCCAACCAAATTCTAACTGTCCTTTGAAAAAATGTTTTTTTCTTTCCTATTGGTGATGCCTTTCTGGTCTGGGGTATTACCAGCTTAAGCATTGATGTCCCTTGGGTGTTTATTTCATTGTTCCTGGGGGCTCTGGTGACACGTTCCGATGGTCATCTCATCTGTCTTTTTTTTCCTCTAGATGAGATTGCTCTTGACTCAGTACATAATGTCTTTCCTGTTCCTTCAGTTCTCTGGGAAAGGAGTTCTTTTAAATGCTTGATTGCAGAAAATACAACAAAAGTATTAGAGTTCATGAAATATGGCAAAATTGAACAAGAAGCATCTCCCTTAATGGAAGAGAGGTTTCAGTAGGTGGGGGAGCAGTCTGCCCCAGCTCCATCCACTTTCTTAGCACAGAGAACTCCCTGTCTCTAGGCACAGTCAGCCACTGCCTTCTCTGTGTTCCCATGGCACATGGGACGTGTCTCCATTACAGCATATATCACGTGGGTACTCAGTTTGTGTATTCGTAAGGTTTTCAAGAAGCTTAGTCATCTATAGTCATTCAGAATGTGCTTCTTGAATGAATGATGAGTGTTTTTGCAAATCTTAGGAGAGCTTCTGTCCTGGAAAGGCCGCACTCATCCTGGATGTTTCTGGCTATGGCTATCAGGGTTCTTTCCTGAAGTCTTGCTTTTATTTTTTTGTCTTTTTTATACTTGCCTTCAGATTGTATTCTTTTTTCTCTTCTCTCTCTTTCTCTCTTTTTCTCCTGACTCAGGGTCTTGCTCTGTTGCCCAAGGTGGAGTGTAGTGGTGCATCATAGCTCACCGCAGCCTCAAACTTCTGGGCTCAAGTGATCCTCTTGCCTTGGCCTCCTGAGTAGCTGGAATTATAGGTTCAAAACACTACACTTGGCTTAGATTATCTTCTTATAGTTTGGAGATAGCATGCCCAGATTCAAGTGTGCCATTTATAAATTGTGATGTAAAGAAATAATTATATGTTTATTTATATTTAGTGAAAAAAATTTTTTTTGAGACAGAGTCTTACTCTGTTGCCCCAGCTTAGAGTGTCATGGCTTCTGAAAAATAATATTTTTTCATAGAAGACAATGGAAAGTAATGGCAAAGTAAAGAAAGTATTGATTGTGATTTTTTTTCTTCTTTTCATCCGCCTTTCCCCTCATCTCTCTTACCTTCCTATGTCTGTCTCTCCTTGCAGAAATTCTTGAATTTGCCAGAGAGATTGGTATCGATCCCATCAAGGAACCAGAACTGATGTGGCTGGCAAGGGAGGGCATTGTGGCCCCACTGCCTGTGGAGTGGAAACCCTGGTAAGTCAGAAGAGGATGTGGCCCACTGACTTGGCCTTTCAGAGGCAGAGGGAACTGAACACGGGAAATCTGTATTAGTCGGCCGGCTTTTCTAAACCTGTCCTGCCCAGTCAGAGACAGCACTATGTCATTCTTCTGCTAGGCTACTTGATGTTTCAGGCCTGAGCACAGGCAGTCTGGGTGGTCCCTGTGAGGGGCTCAGCACTTATCCAAGCCCACACAGCACCTGCTGCCCTGTGTCAGGTCCTCTGAGGAGGTATTTCTCTTTGCCACTTCTTGCAGACTGATGTTGAAGGAGACAGTGTACCTCCTTAGCATGTCCAAATGGATGCTGGTGCTAAAGAGGTTTGCACTGAGGCTGCACAGACTGGCAAAGGGTTTTTGTCTGCCTTGGGGACACAGTGGCTCTGCCACCCCTGAATTCCTGTATCTTGTTTACGAATAGGTTTCGTATTTGTGGATTCATTCATATTTTCAGTTTCAGTTAGGGCTCTTAGAGTTGCAAGGAGCAGTGATTCACTCACCGTAGTTATCTCAGCATACCGCTGTCATCTCCCTCCTGAGGACCACTCACAGTGACACTGGTGTCTGTGTTCTTCGTGTCTGCGCTGTCTTCTCTTAACTTCCTCTTCCTCATCACATGCACAGAGCTCTTTCCGAGTTGTCTCCCAAAGTGAGGAGCAGATTACTTCCTACCTTAGGTTGGGGTTTACCTATGTTTATCCCAAATGGGGCCACAGATGTCTGAGGGGGTCCCCTCTTGCGCTGTGTTGACCATACTTCAAAGTGACTACAGTTGTTGCCTTACAGTTCTCAGCTGAAAAATCCTGATCCTTGGCTCGGCTCCTATAGCTTAACCGGCTAAGGCGCCAGCCACGTACACCTAAGGTGGCGGGTTCGAATCCCCAGCCTGGACCCGCCAAACAACAATGACGGCTGCAACCAAAA